TTAGTATCAGATGTATTAGTATGAGATGGGTTAGAGGATATATGAGTGGTTTGAATTGATCTTTGAATGCTTTGTGAAGGAGGGCATATAGGTATAAAATACCAAACTTTGGAGAGCAGGAGAGATTTTGAAAGGAGAATCTTGCCTTTTAGGGATGAATTACGAGAGGAGAGAGAGTTGGCCTGAGAGGTAAGTTTTTGCTGTAAGGAGGACCATAATGAGTTAGAGTTGGAGAGATTAATGGGAAGGGAAAAGCCAGGAATATTAAGGGTGGAGGTAATGGGAGGGGAGTTAGGGAGTGAAGGAAATGATAGGGGGGAAAGAGGATATAAGGAGGATTTTTGAATGTTGATCTGTCCACCAGTACAAGAGTGGTATAGAGGAAAAATGGTTTCCATCAAAATATGGTAATCTTGTATAGTGTTTCCTATAATTGTAGTGTCATCTGCATATGCACGGAGAGTGAGAGTAGGGATAGAGCGAATGAGATTGAAAAGGGGTTCGATTGAAAGGTTAAAGAGGAGTGGGGCAAAAGGGTCACCTTGTGGGACTCCTTTGAGAACTGAAAAGGGAGGACTTAGATGATTGTTAAGTTTTATAGAAGTAAATCGATTATGATAGGAGGTATATGTGAGGTTTATAAAGGATTGAGGGAAGAGTGATTGATGTAATATGTAATCTAACCAGGAGTGAGGAACTCGGTCATAAGCTTTTGACCAATCAACAGAAAGGACAAAAGCTTCAGGAGGAGGGTTGGAAAGGGTTAAAAAGGAATTGATATCAAGGATTGTATCATAAATGTTGCGAGATTTCATGAAACCAGTTTGAAAAGGGTGAATGAGGGAAGATGCGAATTTCTGGAATCTATTAGCTAAGATAGTGGATAAAAGCTTAATGTCAGTATTAGAAAGGGTAATTGGACGTAGATTTGTGATGTATTGAGGATCAGAATTCTTTTTTTGAATTAAGACAGTAGTAGTTTGTGACCAAGAAGGAGGAGGAGGAGAACCATTAGAAATCATATTGAAAATAGGAATTAAAATCTTAGAAATTTCAGTAGGGAAAAGTTTATAAAACTTATAAGGAAGACCATCTGGCCCTGGGGCAGAGTGATCTTCTTTAGATTTGATGGCATCATAGAGTTCAGATGATGATATTGGAGTGTCAAGTTGAGAAATGGAATCAGGGGAAAGCTTAGGAATATATTGAAATAAAGGAGAAGAAGAAGGGAGAGGAGGGGGATTAGACCATAATGTGGAAAAATGAGAGTGAGCATGTGAGAGAATTTGATGATTATTGTTTGAAAGAGATAAGGATGAGGGATCTTGTGAAGAGGGAATATATAGTTGTTCAATGTTCATGTTTGATTGATGTATCTTGTAACGATTGAAGAAATATGAAGAAGGTCTTTCCCCTTTTTCATACCATGAGGTGTGAGATCTTATAGTAAGTGAGACAAAGGATTTGTGTTCAAGGTTTGAGAGAATGTTCTTAAGATGAGAAATTAAAAGGGAGTTGGGATTAGGAGAGTTTTCTAATTTTGAAATGCGATTTGTAAGGTTTTTGATTGAGGCTTTAAGTTTATGAGAGTAGGAAGAGGAAATAGATTTGTAAAAGGATTTTATGTCTTTTTTGCATTGATCCCAAGAGGAAGGTGAAGAAGGAGTGTGGTAAGACTTAAGTATTGTGGATATGGAATCCTTAACATAAGGGATGGAGAGATAAGATGTATTCATTCGCCATTGTGGGTGAGAAGGTATAGAAGAAGATTTGATAACAATTGCACGATGATCTGAGTCAGAACCAAGAGAGAAAGTAAAAGATGAAAGTGAGGAGTTGATTAATGAGGGAGAGAGGAGGATGAAATCAATACAAGACTTAGAGGAATAGTTAATGGTGTTTCGAAAAAATGTGAATTTAGGATGACCTGGGAGACATCCTGCAAGATCAATAAGGTTAGGGAAAAGAGTAGAGAATAGATTAATTTTGGGAGGGGAACAAAAAGAGGAAGATGTTGACCATTGATCTCGAAGATGAACAGTTGTGTTAAAATCACCACCAACAATTAAAGGGAGGGAGGATGAGATTAAAGGAAAGTTGTTCCACCATACAGTATTCTCTTGTTCAGTAGCAGGGGCATAAATGTTTCTAACCAAAAAAGATGAAGAAGTAGAAGATACTGTTATATCCATAATACGTTGATCTGTAGAGGTAAAAACATGATTAGCTGAAAAGTGAGGTGAGATTAAGGTAATTAGATGTTTGGTATAAAAGAAGTGACCAGGCCACATGGATTTGTAAAGTGAAATTTGAAAGGATGAAAGAGGGGAATGAGAAAGAGTAAAAGATTCTTGGATAAGAATAATTTTAGGGTGGAAGATAGAGATTTTGGAAAGAATTCTAGCAAATTTAGAGTGAGAACAGAGACCATTTGCATTAATAGAAATAATATTCATAATGATTATTTAGTAGATTTTGGGGTAGATTGACGGCGGGAGCGACGAGAGACAGTTTTATAAGAATGGTTATCATTTTCTGTATTTACAGTATTGTTGTCATTTTGAGGAGTGACTTGAGGAGCATGAATAGATGAAGAGAGGGAGGAGAAATCTGTAGTAGTAGTAGTAGAGTTAGTATCATCATTATTATCTTTTTGTTGTGTATCAATGGCCATGTCAGAGGTAGTGGAGTTATCATCTGAATCAAAATCTTCTTCTGCAGTCATCATTTGTTCTCCCTGTTCAACAATAGATTCAGTTTCATCAATAATGACAAGATTGGAGCCAGATGGGTTTTTCATTGGTGTAGAAGTAGTGTTAGTATCAGATGTATTAGTATGAGATGGGTTAGAGGATATATGAGTGGTTTGAATTGGATTAGTAGGATGTGTATCAGGATCTTTGTTAACATTAATGTTGACATCTTTTTGTGGAGATGATTGAACAGCTTGTGCAAAGGTACGAGTAGGAATTGGTCTAATGTTAATAGGTTTTGTAGGGCAGTTACGATGAGTATGATTGGTATGGTGACAACGAAGACAAATTTGACCAGAGTTAGCCCAGGTAAGAGCAATAGAGCAGCCTAAAATTTGAAGATGTACAGGAATATTTTTGTTAGTAATAGGCTCAACAATAGCATCCCATTTGGTAGTGAGAATATTTGTGTTGGTGATGACAACGGGTGCAATCTGTTTAACATTGCAATATTTGGAAAGGGTTTCAGCAATAGAGGTACGAATAGTTTCTTTTTCAAGAATAGGAAGTCCATGAAGATGGATAACTAAAGTACGTCTAGGGAAATCTCTTGGTGGGGAGAGGTGAACAGTTTTGTCATTCAGAGTAATAGGAGAGCTGGAGAGATGTTTTTGAAAGGACACTTCATCATGAAAGGTTAGTTGGAGAAATCGTTCTTCTTGGAGAAAGGCAACGCCGCGGAGATCATTGCGAAAATAATCGAAAATAGCTGTATCAGGGACACGGGTAAACTTTCTGTCAATGAAGAGGGAGAACGGAGATTTGGAAGGGGGGAGGAACTCGGCCAACGAAAGGTTTATCAGTGAGGGTAGATGATGTGTTTTGCCAGTTGAAGAAGTTGAAAACACCGTCAGAGTTAACTAATGGGGCTCTATTGTTATAGACTTTGAAATAGTTGGAAGGAGCTTGTTGAGGGATGTATGAAGTAGAACCAGAAGTAGAAGCCATTTTTTGCTGCAGTACTTTTCACCGTGTTGTATGTCGTGAGTAAAAAGACGAGACCGGGGACATGTCACGCCGAATGTATTTTCATAGTAAAGTTACACAAGCCGATTATTTGTTTTGATGTTGACAT